AACGCAACATTCACCAAGCAAAAAAGAAAAGCTTTAAATTCCATGTTGGATAAGTCATCCCTTCTGTATTATTATGCAAACTAGTGTTACTTTGTGAGCCAAGTCACTAGGAACAACTTAAAACTTTCACATCTACAGATCAAACTGATCTTCAGATTAGGAACTAAAGACTGAAATAGATCATTAGGTCACAGGCTGAATTGCAAAAAAATGCCTCTTTCAAGCATCACCTTTAGAAGATATGAGATGACTCAACCATAAAAAAAAATAAATCACAACTAGAGCTACAGCCCAAAGTTACATGACACCTGAATAACCTCAGCTGATGGGAAACAATGGCAGTATGAAGAGTCACAGTAAGCTGATTGCAGGTGTCCTACAGCTTCTCCTCCTTAGTTCCTGCCTCTTACTTCATCCAAAGTAGAATACTGCTTCAGGCTAAGTAAAATAAAACAACAGCTGCAGAACTAAATGGCTATTCTTTCCGCAAATGAGCAGCTGTGGTAGAAAATCGGCCCTCTGGCAGTCTAGAGGAGTATGACAGTTCTCGTACTCTACTAAAAGGCACAAATATTCCAAAGGAGTTCTAGTAAAAAGTTAGGAAAAGTTGTCTAAGGAAGAAATGATAAAAGAATCATGGAAGAACAGAGAGGAAAAAGGAATACTTCAAAAGAAAGTTGTAATACTGCAATTATCTGTATTTGAAATAATTACAGTTACACAGAACAGTTCTAAGCAAAAACAACAATGGATTGCCTCCAGAAATTTAAGTCAACTGCAAAATGGGAAGCAAAGCCATGAGAAACTTCAGGTAATCTTGCCAAAACCAGAAAGAAAATATGAATTTGGTGAAGTACTACGATACCATAAATGGAACGTAGACAATCTATTTCTCCTGGAGAACACAGTAGTATCCACAGACACTAGGAGTTAACTCACCACCTCACTGAAATAATCCAGTTACGCTTCAGTACGTAAAGGCAGGCAAGCACTTAACATACTGTTTTTTTCCCAGCTTTACCATACATCTCTTGTGAGATACGGGGAAAAGCAATAATCCTTGTCCCTCAGTTCTGCAAGATACCCTCTGCATACCATCTCATTTGGAAGTGGAAGCTATTCCCAGCACAGACATAAAGGGAGTCTTTAGCTGGACTTTTATTTGTACTAGTAGTAGCCTCTAGACAAAACCAAAACAGCTGACACTAGGGACTTGAGACATAAGTTCTCAACAAGCTCAGTTAAGTTTACTTTCACTTGCACAGCTTTTCACAAACATCTGCCCAACACAGGGCATGGTTCTGGTTTACTGCCTTCCTTAAAAATACAGATTTTTCTTCACAATAAGAAGTCAAGGAAGTTACACTCTGGCATAACTATAGAGAGATTTCCTGTTAAGAATGGATAATTACAGCATTGCAACTTCCTTCCAAGCCATCCATCCACATTCTCCTTTAAAGAGCACTACTCCATTAGCTACAAGCAGATAGGGTTACTACACCATTCAAGAACCCAACCCTAAATGTGTCTCACATCAAAATTTTTTTTAACTATACTCCACAACATGCACATGTACACAAACATTTTTATGCTCCTGAGATATAGCACTGCTACAGCTGTATCACTGAACTGACCTAGCAAAACATTCTACTTGGTAGTAACTATATATTTTCTCGTTTCCCTAATATTAATTATCCACCACACATACATATGCAAGCACACACACCTCCTTTAGAATCATGTAAAAAAGAGTGAAACCTGGCAACAAGTTATCCAGCATCATTTACATTCAAACAACCTAAAGCATTTGTTCTTAGCATCACTATACAGCACCGAACACAGCAACAAAAAGCTAAACACAAAAGAAAGAGGTATACAAATCTCAGTGTACAAGTTAAAACCCACAAACCAGTTTTGAGTTATCACTGCTCAGAGAGGTGTGAAAACTAGGACAAAGTCCTCATGAAACTAGGTTTTCTGTAAAAGAAATTTCACGAACTATGCTTTGAGGGTTTCAAGATTATTAAATCTGTCTGATTACTGTAAAACAACTAACCCATCGTTACAAAAGCAGCACCTACATTACAAAATAGAATCACTATCCCAGCTATAAGACTGGGCCTCCAAAACAGGAGAAAAAGCTGAGAAATATCCTAAGTGCAAGTATATGACCCTAAGATTGTTGCTACCTATCATAAGCCATGTCCACTTGTAAATTAGAATTGTAATTCTTTCTCCCTCAAACCAAACAAACAAGTAAGCTTTGTAACAGGAGACAAAGAACATTCTTTAGAGTAGATTATATTTTTATCATTATGGGCTACAAATGCCTTTTTACATTCTTTGAATATTGAGGTAATGGTCACTGAGGGAAATAGAGATAGAATACACAAGCCTAGGATGGGGAGCACTTCAGCTTTGGAACACCATAGACAGTGAAGAGCAAGATAAATAAGGATAGGAATAATCACATGCACAGATACCTATGTTGGATTCCCCCCCATTTGTATGATTTAATGTGAGGCTGAGCTATTTAAATGTGTTTGTGATAGCCCAAGCTTCATAAAGAATTTCAGAAATGGGACAGTCAGAGATTTTGAGATCTGTACAAGTAATACAAGTACCACATTAACAAGAATGTATTTCATGGTCACAGAAAATGCTACAAATGCGACAAAACTAAGACTTCATTCCAGGACAGTATTAGAAAACTCAGCTTATGAATGCATCCAGGACACAACCTTTAACAAAGTAAGTTTTATGTATCATTATCACAATAAACACTAACTAGAAAACTATTTAAGAAGCATGCCACCTATGAAGACTGGTATATTAATTGCCATTCGCAGTGAGATGTCAGTTCACAGGACTTATCTAGTAGTTAAACTGTTTATTGTAAAAGAAAGATACGTGCAAATAATTCAGAGGTGGGGCTTGAGTCACAGCTTGTGCAAAAAACATTCATTTTTAAACATACAACCATAAACGGTATGAACAAAGAAAATTTCTAAAATATGAAACTATGTGTCATTTCCTGATGCCAGGAACAGAGACTCCCAACAAACTTCTCGGGGCAGCATACAAAACTTATCTACCTATTTTAAGCACTAAATGACTAGTAGTAAAACAAATTTAAAAAAAAAAAAAGTAAGTTTGCTTTGCTCCAATAAAAGAATTCCCTGAGAAAGAGGCAGGAACTGTGACTTTTGACAGGGAAATACAGAAATGGGCTTCTCACCCAGCAACTACCAGACAGCTTTCCAAGCAAGTTCAAACACTCTCTTCAGCAGCATCCTATAGGTCTCAATTAGGATGTCCCCCAGCAACCGTGTTCAGAACACCACCACTGCATACACACGCCAATCTGAAGAGCAGTTGTCTGGTCAGTTTGATGGTCTTTTTCATAAAGCTTATACCATGAAATAATTCAGCTGCTAAATGCCCTATTACTGAAAGTGTACTTTTAGTACTTTTCCAGGCTGACATAGTTTTTTTTTTTCCAGAAAGCCTCCCTTCTGTTGTGTGAAATCCAGTAACACCATGACTTCATACATAAGCCGTATGACAAGGTGTTTTCTCTACCTGAGACTAAGTTACTTAGAGCCCAAAGATTTCCTCAACCTTCTGACACCCTGGGCTGACCATAAATAGCAAAGCCACCCAGTTACTACTCGGTCTTCAGGCAAGAGATGAAATGGAAGAGGGAATACCAGAAAGAAACTGAGACATATGTTCTGGGGCTACCCTGAAACAATGGATCACATCCCTCTTTGGTACTTGTAGAACAAGAATTTCTTAAACCTTTAAGTCAGACGCATTTCGGTGGAAAGAAAAAATAATGACAGTACAATTAATCTTAGTACAATCATCTGGTCTTCTCATCTGGATACAGAGCAACTCAGAAGGCACAAATTCAAGACGCATGAAGACCCAACCTTCTCCTCACAGACGTGAGTGGGAGGAAAGGAGAAAGCATGCATACAGAAGGCATAGCCACACATCTCTCTCCAGTATCTTTCCTTACATATCAGGGGAAGTGAAAAGGGGAGCAGGGGGAGAAAGAATGGTTCTTAAAAGGCCTAGACTAAATAGATGCAAGATAATCAGGTATTCAAACCAGGAACACGCTCAGTCCTGTGACCTTACAGCTTAGTGGAAGACATACTAATATGAACTTCAATGCTCATCATTTTCTTCATAATCACCTGGATGGAACACAGTTGATAGAAAGCCTTTTAAGCCTTCCCGCTTTGGATCTATTTTTAATAGAAGCTGAAAAATGGCCAGTCCCTGTATAAGATGTTAGGCTCAGGTACTAAGGGTCTAAAGGAGTCCTCTTAGGCCCATCTTCGCAAGCAAAGGAGACAGACTAGAAAGGATAAAACTAAGAACACCACCTTTACTGAGAGGGATTAGCTCCTCAAGTACTCATTTCACATTATTCTATGTGGAAGAGTTACAAGAATCATAGAGAAGCTTTTTTTTTTCTAGTAGACTATCTGGGAAACAAGATAACTGATCAGCTATTCCTTCTTGAAACTCTGGCACCTCCTCTACAGAATGGGGGAGTGCTGCCCTAGCAAAGCATAAATGAGATCAATTAGTAAAGAAATTACAGCCCATTCCTCTGCTTGGCCTCCATGGTTCTCTCTCTCCAAGGAAGGGGTATAGGGCAAGCCCTGTCCTTCAGAAGCTCACATTCTCCAGGGCCCTGTGCATAGGGAAGAGCTAATAAGGCCCCTTCTGGAGAGCAGACACACTGAACAGCCTCTCCCGAGCTCTCCATCGCCACGTCCCCGATCCTACCTCCCCCCCCCCGGAGAAT